AGAGGGGCTTCCGATAGGGAGAGCAGAAGCAATGAATATGCCCGGTGCAGATCCCGGAGGGAAACCCTCGAGGAGATCCACGCTAGGGGCTTCGATCTCTTGGAAGAGATAGAGCAAGCCAAGGCGGATGAATACGACGCCAAGTTCCTCGTATCCGATGCCGAAGATAATGAGGAAGAGGTCGATGGGGACGTAGTCCCCGAGGGGAAAGTAGACTAGGCTTTTCCTTTCTGATTTTTCATACAATGCGCTTAGAGAACATTGTAAATGAAGCCTTGTATTATTTCACAAATACATATAAAAAGAAGCCTTTAGGTTTTCCCCTTTCAGGAATTTCCCCGTTGCTTGTGTATGTCTTTCTTTTGTTTTGAATTTTGACACTTGCCAATGATTAGCCAGATGAATTGGACTTCGAGGAAAAACCCTTAGGTTTACAGATCGGCCCTGGGGCTTGTTGGGCTGGCCCGTAGGCTCTTATGCTTTTGCCTTTAGGCGTTTTTTAGTTAACCATTTCGGGCTCAGTCTTCGAGTCAGGTTTGGACTTGAGGTCATCGACCCTTAAGTTTTTATATTTTAAGCTAGCTCATAGGCTCTTACGCGTTGGGTCGGTATGACCTCTAATATAGGCTGGCGCTTAGGCTCTTACGTGTTGGGTCGGTATGACCTCTAATATAGGCTGGCGCTTAGGCTCTTACGCATTGGGTCGGTACGACCTCTAATATAGGCTTTATTTTTCCCTCGTTAAAGATTATTTGATGTTTTTGTGTTCGTCCGACTCTTTGATGGTTCGATAAAAATCTCGATTGTGAGCCATTATGTGACGATAAATGAGCACATCGGGAGGTTTTGCTCGATGGCTAAATTGTTTCGAAGCCTTTTCATTGTTTGGAGCTAACATGATCGAAGCTCTTTTGCATATGCCGAGGGTAGCCTGATTAACTGGTTCTTTTCGAAGTATTTTCGAAGTTATTGAAGGCTTGTGATTTGATGGCGACGGTCGGGCGTCCCCGAGTCACGTTAGTTTGGCCGGAGCCTCGTGGCCGTAGTCATTGTGTTTGGCCGTAGCCATTTAGTTCCGAGTGAGGTAGCCTCAGCGTTTATATCAAGGGTATGCCTTTTTAGGGGTCTTATAAGTTCGAGTATACAGCCTTGAATATATGATCGGGATTATGCCTTTTGTAAGGTCTTACAGATTCTTTGGTTACTCGGCACATGTATAATTCATGCCTTGCTTGAGGTCCTACAGATTTAGTATTGCCTTATGGAGGTCTTATGAGTTCGAGGTTGCCTCATGGAGGTCTTAATTTTCTAGAATTGCCACATGGAGGGCTTTCACATTCGAGGTTGCCCGCTTGGGGTCTTATGGCCTCGAGTTTTTGATAGCTCGATGGGGTGACAGTCGGCGACAGTCCCCGAGACATCAAAAGTTTTTGGCTCTGGAGCCGTTCTTTGTAAACTTGATGTTGCCTCATTGAGGGCTTATGAGCTCGAATTTTCCGGCCCAGAGGCTATACGGCTTCTAGTTTTTGATGTCAGTTCCCGAGTGTTCGGGAAATTTCTAGCCTTGGGGCCGTTTCTTGTAAAAATAGCAAACTTCTTTGAAGTGCAAGGCGTTTTTATGGTAAAAGATATTCCGTTGATTACTTGGTACAAGTATACATATTTTCGTCGTCGAGTGTTCGATTATTTTATGCAGACACGGTTCATTTGACCGTTTGGCCCGATACATCATTTTGTTATCGAGACACTCTTTGGCTCATCTTTATTTCTCCGGGGAGGTAATCTCTCGGGGGGATGCCCCCCAGTATTCGAGGTTGATTGAAGAGAAGCCTTGGATACTTGTTAAGTTCTCCTTAGGTAGCATATAGATGTTGCCTCGTTAAAAACCTTGCCGGTAAAACCCTTCTTGAGATAAAATCCGATCGAAGGAAAAGAGTGCAACGTATGCTTTAAAACCTAAGGTCTTCAAGCTGGAAGGTGCTTCGATTTTTCTAACCGGACACATTCACACGAGTTAGTATAAGACGTAAACAAAAAGGGAGACGGTTATACCTTAGTAATGATGGCGTTTCGAGCCTCGATATGCTTCAACTGCTCGCTCCGGGGACGCGGTACGGTCCTTTGCTCATTTACTCGGGTGCAGCTCAGAATGTAGCTTGTGATTTCTACTTCATTGTTTACTTATCCTTTGGCTCCTTCGATGTTGAAGGTGTCGATACCAGTGCCACATCGTGCACCGCAAATATCTCTCTTGCTGTTTGTGGCTCTCCGTATACAGTTTTTATTCCGTCCTTCATTGGAAACTTCATCATTTGATGAAGGGTTGATGGTACTGCTCTCATGCAGTGTATCCATGGCCTTCCGAGCAAGGAATTGTACCTCATGTCTTATTCGATGACATGAAACTTGACATTCTGCGTTGTGCCGGCCACGTTGACCGGGAGGGTGATATCCCCTTTCGTTGTCTCGCTCGCCATGTTGAATCCGTTGAGGACTCGAGAGGCGGGCACGATCTGGTTGAGCTGCTCCACCACCCTCGACCTGATAATGTTGGCCGAGCTACCTGGATCTGCAAGAACACGTTTTATTTGAAATGTATTCACAAGAAAAGAAATTACCAATGCCTCGTTATGAGGTTGAGATAGGGCCTCGATGTCCTCTTCGCTGAATGTGAGAGTGTCCTCGGGTATGTAACCTGGAGTTCGCTTTTCCCTGGTGATGGATATTTTTGTTCGTTTGATAATGGGTTCCTGTGGGATGTCGATTCCTCCAACGATCATGTGGATGACATGTTGTGGCTCTTCTTTTTCGTTTTTCCTGTTCATCTCTCTTTCCCGAAATTGATTTTTTGCTCGGTCGCTGAGGAACTCTCGGAGGTGCCCTTTGTTGATTAGTCAGGCTACTTCTTCTCGGAGCTGTCTGCAATCATTGGTCCTACGACCGTGTGTGCCGTGAAATTCGCACACCAGGTTAGGGTTCCTTTGCGACGGATCTGATAGTGTGGGTTTTGTCCACCTAGTGTCTTTGATTTTACATATGGCTGATACAATGTCCGAAACATCAATGTTGAGTTGTACTCATATAATTGGGGTGCCTCCATCAGTCCTGCGTGTCTGTCGAATCCGGCTCTGCTCACGAGTCCCCGAGGATTCTGACCTCGATCTGCCCTTCGATCTTCTGTGTACGGTTGGTACCTTTCCTTGTTTATCCTTAGTTCCTTTGCCAAGAGCCTACTAGGATATACTAAGCCTGAAGGGGTTCTTAGTTGGTCGTCCTCGACCCTAATCTTTGATTGATACCGATTGTGGACATCCGCCCAAGTCACGGCGGGATATTCAACCAAGTTTTGCTTTAGGTGCTTCGAAGCTATTAAACTTCGTTCGTTCAAACCTTGGGTGAAGGCCTGCACTGTCCAGTCATCGAAAACTGGTGGTAATTCCATTCGCTCCATTTGAAAACGAGATACAAACTCCCGTAGCATATCATTTTCACTCTGTTTGATTTTGAAGACATCGGATTTCCTTGTAGCAACCTTCATGGCACCGGCATGTGCCTTTATAAAAGAATCTGCCAGTATGGCAAATGAGTCTTTCGAATCGGGATAGGTTGTGATACCACATCATGGCCCCTTTTGAAAGTGTTTTTCCGAACTTCTTCAAATGGACGGATTCAATCTCATCGTCCTTCAGGTCATTTCCCTTTACAGCACAAGTGTAATCAGTGATGTGCTCGTTGGGGTCCGAGGTTCCATTGTACTTCGAGAGATCGGGCATTCTGAATTTCTTCGGGATGGGCTTTGGAGCAGCACTCGATGGGAATGGCTTTTATACGAATTTCTTTGAATCTACACCCTTCAGAATCGGGGGTACGCCCGGGATCTGATCGGCCCTTGAATTGTAGGTCTACACCTTTTCGTCGTTAGCTTCTATCTTCTTTTTGCCCGATTCAATCCTCTTTGTGAGGTCCTCGAGCATCTTCATAATAGCGGGGTCGGCTGCTGACCCGTTGTTGCTCGATCTTCCCGGTACCTGTTCGGCTCGAGGAGCCGTTTCCGGTGCTGTTGTGCTTGGAGTTTTTTGGTGGCTTTGCAGTTGAGCAATCGCCAGCTGTTGTGCTTGCAACATCTCAAAAATGACGTGAAGGCTAACCTCCCGTTCCTCCCGAGCTGGGGTTCTCTGAGCTTCTTGATGGTTTTCTTGGCGTATACTCCCGTTAGTGTGGGAGCTTATATCGACGTATTGGACGTTGCATGATCCCACATCCACGGGGACTGGTTCTGGTGCGTCCTCAGGGTTTTGTAGTGGTACACCGGCGCCTGGAACGGCTACACCACTACACCATTCTGTCCATCGTCCTCAGGACCGTTGTTTTCATGTGAATTCACTGAGTTAGACATTTGACCCGAAATCAAAGATTCTTGGACAAGAAAAAGTGTGAATGATAACTTGTGTTTTCAATAAACCAGCATGAAAACAATCACTATTATTTTTAGCCCCACGATGGGCGCCAAACAGTTTACCTTGAAAATCGCAATTACAACTAAATTTGATTTTGTGGTTCTATAAATACGTGATTTATATTAATGCTAGTTATTAGGCGATAGATGTTAAGTGTGAGTTAGGAAATTGAGGTAAGAGCTTTAAGACAGTATGTTATGCAAATCGAATAGCCGTGAATTGGGGTGTCGAGCTGGCCTACGCTAGGCCTCGAGGTCGAGCTGAAGTGTCAGGCTAGGGATGGTCGATGAAGAACTAACAGTTCTAAGGACCTTGATGATGGATCTTTATGATCAATGATGAGTAATAAATGAAGAACAATCAATAAAACACAATAAATGTAAGCAATAAAATCAAAGGTGCGACAATAGAATATGTTTAAGTTAAAGAGCAGAGAATGTTCTTGTTCTTGTATTGAATATCATGTGTCTTACAAAATAATAAGGGTCCCCTTTATATAGGAGGGGGAATCCCAACATAGTACATGTGCATTTATTACAAAAATATGCGGCCGGTACAACCATTTAATGTCATGGTACGGACTTATACTATTATTGTAGACCTGGTCAGCTCTAACCACGTGCCTTGGTAATTTCCCGCTTGTCCATCATAGCCACTGATTTGCACTGCCCTGAGGTCGAACATAGGGAACCCTCGAGGTCGAACTTCGAGCTGTTCCTCGAGCCTTCTGGAGACGGGCTATGGAGTTTCATAATGATCATAAAATCGGACTCTCCAATTTTAGTCGTACAAAGTTATTCTGCAATAGAATGATATATCTCATTTTTATACACAAATATTTTTCGCATCCTCCTAAAACTATGATAATAAGTATTTAGATGGAACTCAAACTTATCGTATAGTAATTAATAATGAATGTTACTCTAAGAAAGTACACATGAGTGCCAAAAGCTAGCCTACAGTTTCTAGCTCTTACCAATTTAACTTCAACAACTATATTAGCGGCACAAGTGAAGAGAAGCAATAAGACAGGAAAAGTAAAAGAAGCATTAGACAAGTCACTGAATATCGCATTAAATTATAATTGTATCAATCATAATATAAGCGATTTAAAATTTTAATGTCTACAAGCACTTATTCTTGGTCAGCGGAATTAAAGATTCAACCAAAATTGCAAACTTGCACGGCATGAGCAAGTGCTGAAATACTGCAGATTGTGGTGTAGAAGAGGGCAAGCTTGAGGCCAGTATATTACCACATCCAAGACCAAGGTAAGAAAACACTTTGTAGTTAGTTACTTACTCTATAACATACATTTGGATACGGTATAATAAACCGAAACAGAATAGGCCCAAGTGAAGTAGCATCGATAAGGCGGGCTTGATAAAATTATTAACTATGTGACTTGTAGGATAGAAAGACCATATAAAACAACACTAGGGTACCCCCTCCCTCCACCTAGAAGAGCAATAAATCAAACAGAGACAAGGTGGCACAATATTGATTTGGTTAGTATTCCAGCTTTTCAAAATCTAGAATTTCTAATACAGGCTTAAACAGAGTCGGATAGATTGAGTACATTGTATCATGTAAAGGCACACTAAACACACATGGCAGAAACACTAAAACTTACTGCATATTTAAGCTTTAAAAGGGGCGACTAACTTTTTGATAAAGATAAGTAGTATCTTTATCATCTTTGGTATTTATATTTATTTTGATGCATCAGTAAACTTTCATGTTTGAATAGAAGGGTAAGGTATAATCTCCAAAAGTGACTAGTTAGCAACATTTTGATTCATAATATACAAGTGGTTATGCTCAGAACCTACAAAGACTTATCTCAATCCAACATTTAATAGTTTTGGTTTGTTTATTATATGTTCGACAGGTTAAGCGTTGGGGTTCTTGGACAACAAATTCAAAACACTGTGGAACCATTCTTAAAGTGAGAATTTGTTACCATAGAGTGAATGGGAACAAAATATCAATACTTTTCATCAGCTTCGGCACCGAAAAGTCCCAATCGAGCATGCAAATTCACTTCTCTAGATCCATCAAATCTCCACTGTGTGTTTTTCACAAATTTACACTTTTAGACTATAAAAAAGACAATCAAATATAGAAAGCAGAATATAATTTTCTCTAATTCCCAAAAGAATAAGGCAATTAACCATTACCTTCAATAAATTGAAAGTTTCAATGGCAAAGTGGGACAACTATATGATTTAATTATCATTGATTATGACCCAGTAGTGGAAAATATTAGGAGTACTCATATCCATAGTAATATCAAAATCCCACAGGAAAACTACACAAAGCAAATCAGAAGTAGAAAAATATACAACCACACAATAACATATTGTACCCCCAATACTACTCATTCTGAATCTCGCGGCTCATCGGATACCGTTCACATATATAAAACTAGAAATTAGAATGAAATCTATGATTTTATTGAGAAAGTAAATAAAAAAAGGTGGGATTATAGTATTGAAGAAACCGTAACAAATCCCCGATATCGATACTTCAATCAAAATCGGAATAATATAATAAATAAGAAATTAATTTGTTGAACAAGAGAGGAATGTTTAAAGAAGAAAACCCAAAATCACAATGGAGCAGATTACCTAAATCACATATTGTATCATGACCAATCTCTTCTTGATAGTTAGTGACCTACACAGATCTAAGAGTGTTAAAGCCTGCTTCGATAAGATTGAAGTTACGGGTTTAGATGGTTTTAAAATTGTGTTCTCCAGATATGAGTGTTATAGTTGCGTTTGAACACTTGTTCATAGCATACGATTTTCTGATGTATTTAAAGATATGTGGATGTATTAGAACTTAAAATTAAAAATAAAAATAAAATAAATGTTCTAGGTGGGAATAGCAAAATTAGAAGGTGAAAATAAATAGGGAACTAATAACTGTGGCAATAGATATTTTACCCAAAAGACCGTTGCCACAGAGATATCTATTGCAACGGTTTCAATAACCGTTGTGATAATTAAGCCTATGGCAACGGTTCATGCACTAATATAATGGCTTAATAGCAAAAGTGTCTCAATAGCACAAAATGTCTATCGCAACGGTTAGAACCGTAGCAATAGAGCGTCTATCGCAACGGTTATTTAGCTGTTGCAAAAAAAGGTGTTGCCATAGACCTAGTGTCTTCTGCACTTGTGTAGATTTTGGTACTGGTCCCAGTCGTATGTGAGGTGCATTAGTTCGGATTGACATACTTGGAGACTCGAGGTAGATCTGCTGGAGTCCGCAGACCTTGAAGTCCTCTTTCTCTTTCCTTAGTAGTGTTCATTTCATTCGAGACAGTTGTTCTTGTTTCAAACTTTATTTGTAGTACTTCTAGTGCTTGTGTACTTGTGACTCCAGGTCCGGGATTTGTACTTAGATATTTTGGGTATTATGGATTTTAGTTTCATTTCAGTTTAAATGAGTTCTAAATTCTTGAATTTGTTGAAATGGCTTATAATTTACTCTAATGTTGGCTTGCCTAGCAAGTGAAATGTTAGGCGCCATCATGGTCCATTAGGTAGGAATTCTGGATCGTGACAAGTTGGTATTAGAGCACTAGGTTGCCTAGGTCTCACAAGTCATGAGCAGGCTTAGTAGAGTCTGGAGGATCGGTACAGAGACGTTTGTACTTATCTTCTAGAAACTATGGAATTTAGGAACAATTTCACTTCTATTCTTCTCTGTCGTGCGATTTTGTTCTATCATTGCTGATTGAACTCTTCTATTCTTGATCTCTCATAGATGGCGAGAACACGTACTATATCTTCAGTTGGATAGCAGCCCGAGCCCGTAGTGGCAGCTCCTACGAGGGGCAGAGGTCGATGCCAAAGTCGCGCCAGAGGCCGAGGCAGAGGCAAAGCTCAGCATATAGCTCGAGCAGCAGCACCATCAGTGGAGCCTCAGGTGGATTTTGATAAGGAAGTTCCAGCTCACACAGTACCTGTTGGACCAGCTTAGGTCTCGGAGAGGTTCATTTCCACCGAGTGCTTCAGGACGCTCTAGTCTGTTTGGTGGGCCTTATGGAGAGTGTGGCCCAGGCCGGTACATTTCCGATAGCACTAGCCGTCTCTCAGGTTGGGGGAGGAGCAGAGACTCCTGCTACTCAATATCAGACTCCAGCAGCCCCGCCAGCTGGGGTACTTCATCCGGTTGTTGTGGCACAGGCCGTGATAGGCCCGCTATGTCTTCTGAGGGCTTACTGAGATTGGACAAGTTCACAAAGCTCTGCGGAACATGGGGATAGTTGAGACCAATGGAGTCGATTTTGTTGTGTTTCAGATCAAGGGTTCTGCCAAGAGGTGGTGGAAGGATTATGTGCCGACCAAACCATCTGGGTCGCTGCTCTTGCTTGGGACTAGTTCTCTCAGCTATTCTTAGAGAAGTTCCTCCCTATCACACTGAGAGAGGATTACCGCAGGCAGTTTGAGCGTTTCCAGCAGGGCAGTATGATTGTCACTCAGTACGAGACTCATTTTGTGGATCTAGCCTGCCATGCTCTATTTTTGCTTCCTACGAAGAGAGAGAGGGGGTGAGGAGGTTTATTAATGGACTCAGTCACCCTATCAGGCTACAAATGGCCAAGGAGGCCGGGGGTGAGATTTCCTTTCAGACAGCTGCTAATGTTACTAGGCAGATCGAGATGGTTCTTGCATAGGAGAGGGGGCATGGGTCTAATAAGAGGCGGCGTCATTTTGTTGGGTTCAGTGGTGCCTCGTCTGGAGGAAGGGGTATTTTTATTAGGGTCCATCCTCCCAGTCTGTTTCACTCAGCGCTCTAGGCATCTCAAAGTGCTTCAGGTGGTCGCGGGCCTCATATGTCTCATCTCGACCAGCTAGCCTATAGTGTACCACCAGCTCCTATTAGTGCACCTCCGCTCCAAAGTTTTCAGAGTGGTTACTCAGTTCGATAACATCAATTTTAGGGTCAGCAGTCACAGCAGTCGAGATCATGTTATACTTGTGGTGACCTGAGGAACATTGCTAGATTTTTTCCTCGGGCACCGGGCAGCTCACATTAGCAAGGCTTTTATGCCATGGTTCTAGCACCGGTTGTTTCACCGCCTGCACGGCCAACTAGAGGTAGAGGTCAAGCCATTAGAGGTGGAGGTCAGGCCGTTAGAGGTGGAGGCCAGACAAATAGGGCCCATCCCGGGGACGTAGTTCAGAGTGGAGGGGCCCCACCCCGATTTTATGCTTTTCCAGCTAGGCCCGAGGCTGAGTCATCTGATGTTGTCAACACGGGTGTTGTTCAAGTTTTCCATAGAGATGCTTCAGTTCCATATGATCTTGGCTCTACTTATTCCTACGTGTCATCCTATTTTGCTTCAAATCTGGTTGTGCCTCGTGATTTATTGAGTGCTCCTGTACATGTGTCCACACTTGTGGGAGATTCTATTATTGTAGATCGTGTCAATCGTTCATGTGCGGTTACCATTAGGAGTCTTGAGACTAGCGTAGATCTCCTACTTCTCGACATGGTTGATTTTGATGTCATCATGAGTATGGTTTGCTTGAAACCTAATCATGCTATATTGGATTGTCACGCCAAGACGGTGACCTTAGCCTTTCCGGGGTTGCCTCGATAGAGTGTAAGGGGACTCTTGGCCACTTTATCGGTAGGGTTATCTCTTATGTGAAAGCTCGACATATGGTCAAAAAGGGGTGTCTAGCTTATTTGGCTTATGTCTGCGATTCTAGTGCGGAGGTTCCGTCCATGGATTCAGTCCTAATTGTTCGTGAGCTTCCAGAGGTGTTTCCAACAGATCTGTCGGGGATGCCACCCGATAGAGATATTGACTTCCATATTGATTTGGCTTCGGGCACTCAGCCCATTCCTATTCCGCCATACCGTATGGCCCTACCAGAGTTGAAATAATTGAAGGATTAGTTGTCAGATTTGATTTATAAGGGCTACATTAGACCTTGTGTCTCGCCCTGGGTGGATGGATCGATGAGGATGTGCATAGATTGTCCATTGCCAAGGATTGATGACTTATTTGATCAGCTTCAGGGTGCCAAGGTGTTTTCGAAGATTGATTTGAGGTCTCGCTACCATCCGTTGAAGATTAGGGCATATGATGTCCCTAAGACAGCTTATCAGACTCGGTATGGGCATTATGAGTTTCTAGTGATGTCATTTGGGTTGACAAATACCCCAACAACATTCATCGATTTGATGAACCGGGTGTTCAACCCCTATTAGGATTCCTTTGTTATTTTATTTATTGATGATATCTTGATCTACTCCTGCAGTCGAGAGGAGCACGAGCAACATCTTTGGATTGTACTTCAGACTCTGAGAGATAGCCAGTTATACGCCAAACTTTCAAAGTGTAAATTTTTGTTGGACTTAGTGACCTTGTTGGGCACGTCGTATCGGTAGAGAGCACATATGTGAATCCTAAGAAGATTGAGGCAGTTCAAAACTGGCTTAGACCCACTTCAGCTACAGAGATCCGGAGGTTTCTAGGTTTGGCAAGTTATTGCCGCTAGTATGTGGAGGGGTTTTCATCCATAGCAGCCCCATTGACAAGATTGACCTAGAAGGGTGTCCTATTAAGATGGTCAGACGAGTGTGGGTCAAACTTTTAGAAGCTCAAGACTGCTTTGACTACGGTGCTAGTATTAGTGTTGCCCACAAGTTCAGGATCTTACATGGTGTATTGTGATACATCTCGTATTGGGCTCAGTGTAGTATTGATGCAGGATGGCAGGGTGATAACATATGTGTCGCGACAGTTGAAGGTTCATGAGAAGAATTACCCTATTTATGACTTAGTGTTGGCAGCCGTTGTTCATGCGTTGAAGATCTGGAGGCACTATCTTTACGGCATGTTGCGCGAGGTATTCACAAATCATCGGAGTCTGTAGAATTTTTTCAAACAAAAAGATCTCAATTTGAGGATGAAGTGGTGGTTAGAGCTGTTGAAAGATTATGATATCACCATTTTGTATCATCCCGGGAAGGCCAATATGTGGACGATGCCTTTAGTAGAAAGGCAGTGAGTATGGAGAGCCTTGCATATATTCCAGTTGGTAAGAGTTCAGGCTTTGGCCAATCAGTTTGTAAGGTTAGAAATAAAAGTGTTCTAGCTTGTACAGTTGCTCGGTCTTCCTTGTATGAGCGCATCAGAGAGCGGCAGTTTGATGACCCTCATTTGCTTGTCCTTAGGGACACAGTCCAGCACGATGATGCCAAGCAGGTTACTATTTGGGATGATGGGGTTTTGAGGAAACAGGGTCATATTTGTGTACCCAATGTAGATGGACTTCGTGAGTTGATTCTTGAGTAGGCCCATAGTTCCTGGTATTCTATTCATCCGGGGGCCGCCAAGATGTATCGGTACTTGCGACAACATTATTGGTGGAGAAGGATGAAGTGGGATATAGTTGTATATGTAGCTCAGTGTCTAAATTGTCAGCAAGTTAAGTATGAGCATCAGAGACCTGGTGGTTTGCTTCAGAAGTTAGATATTCCTGAGTGGAAGTAGGAGTGTATCACTACGGATTTTGTTGTTGGACTCCCACGGACTCAAAAGAAGTTCGACGCGGTATGGGTCATTGTAGACAGGCTGACAAAGTCAGTGCATTTCATTCCTGTGATAGTTACCTATTCTTCAAAGCAGTTGGCTGAGATTTACATCCGTGAGATCGTCCGTCTTCACGGTGTGCCTGTGTCTATCTTTTCTGATCGAGGTAAGCAGTTCACCTCGCATTTCTAGAGAGCAGTACAGCGTGAGTT